ATAAAATTGCAATTTTCCAAACGCAACAAACAGACTCCTCTACCACCCCTCCCTGAGATCAATTCAATTTACCACGCAGAATCTGCGGGGTCACGTGACCAGCCCCGACCAGGGTCTTTGCTTCCCAAGAGCAAAGAGCCTGGGAACGAGGTTGAATAATAGGTTGCTATATTTAGCAATATATATGAACAGAATTTAGTTATCTGTATAAATACCGTTTGTTTGTACTTTTTCTTAATTATCTCCATGTTATATATTATAAAAAAATTAAAAAGATATTTCCGAGCTCTATATTACACATATTACAAATTAGTAAAAAAAACATTGTGGAAAATCACAGTGCTTAAATTTATTTATTGTTTAAATTACATCGAATTTTACTGTTAGTAATACTGACCTGTATAGCCATCTTTGCAGAAACAAACATATGAGCCTGGAGTATTAACACACGTGGAGATTGCGCTATCGCATGGTGATATAGGTAATGAGCACTCATCAATATCATTTTGACAAAAGGTGCCATTATACCCTGGATCTATTACATCTGCAGATTGCCGAACCATTTCGATGTTTATCACAAACTCCTTTGCCACATAGATTTTTCACATTCTTACACTCATCTACCCACTGGCAGAGGGACCCTGTAATGGGGATCAAAGTGATATAGTTTTTCTACCTTATCGCCAAACAATTTTACTTGTATTACTTGGGAAGGGAAACAACATATGTTGGATGTTGACTGGTCAACTCACTAAGTCAACCACAAGGGGCTCAACTATACTGTCAGTAACAAGTGTAAAATAATCAAAATAATAAACTTACTTTAAAAGATTTGCATAAATTTTTCACAACAATATCAATAAATACAGGGTCAGGGTGTATCAAAAAACCTGCAAACACTATAATTTGCATAATTCTGCTGCTTATACTAGCATTTCAATGTTTGTCCTGAGATCGATTTGAAAATATACATTCTAATTATTAAACCGCGTTGATAGAAATTAGAATAACACAAAGTTATTTGTAATGCAGAAAACTAATTGTCAGTTCGACTGCGAATGGGTCAACTATTGTGTTTACGCACGCTTGGGATCAATTAGTTCTGAATCATGCAAATTCTAAAAACATTGTATTTCAAAGGATTTGCAGGTTTTTTGATACACCCTGTCAGAGTTCAATATAATTCTGAAAACTTGGTCTGACATTGTGTCAGACCAACCCATGTTTTGGTCGGACATGATCGGACACTTAATTATTCGCAAGAGGGACGTTGTCAGTTGTCACAGTACTAGAAACCAAAACCGTAACAACTACCAATAGTCTAAAACCATATATATATATATATATATATATATATATATATATATATATAATATAACTTTCTAATAATTTAATGAACCAGTAGTTAAAAAAGAGATCTCCTCGAAGCCCAAGGAGACGATTTGTTCAAACTACTAACATTGAGATTGCTAAATGTTAATGCGATGGGAGCATTAGTGTAGAGGACTTTGTTTGACAATAATAGGTTGCTATATTTAGCAATTCAGATTCTGTGATTGTCTAGCAGATGGGAAACTTTGTTTGCATGTGTTAAACATTACAGATTTTGTTAAAAAGATTTGCAACAATAAAGGAAGAAATATTCAAATTAATGAGACAAAACGGTCGGCCATAATGTCCGTGCAGAGCAATCAGTAGATGGCCATATCAGCATTTTGCTCGGCTAATGGCCGGTGGCCGACTTTTATATTGATCCCTGCACCCTGTATATTATGAATGGAGAAAGAGCAAAAAAAATCTATATGAAGTACTATATAGAATCCTCAACAGGTAAGTAATGTGGGCGCGTATGAGGTAATAGTAACTGCATGGTAATAGAATCATTAATAATAGACAAATACAGTACATGCATGCAGTCTCGGGGATAAATAGATGAATGGCATCAATTGTCAAAAGTGCACAAATACTGTAGATAATAATCATCTATCTAGGGGAAACCTAACCCTAACTAACAGACCATACATAACTCGACCAAAGAGACTGGACATACGCAAAGCTGAATACTTCATGTTAAGAATAGTCATCATACCTATATACATAAAAATATTCATCATACCTATATATGGGTCTTGACATTTACAGCTGAATTCACCCTCCCCATCAATACATGTACCATTATTCAGACATTTTGATGAACCATCATCCGTCTTACAACCATCGATATTTATTGAGCAGTTTGTTCCTGTATATGCAGCTCTGCAAGTGCATGCGTACGAGCCTTTAGTGTTAGTGCAAGTTGCCTTGTTCTGACATATTCCAGGAAATTCATTACATTCGTCAACGTCCACATCACATTGGTTCCCAGTGAAGCCACTTTTGCAGCTGTTAAAAATGTTATAACATCATGAGAGTTTAAATAGCTAACAATATTTTAAAAGAAAAGAAAAGGTCGTCAGATTTAGATTAGGGTGAGACTGGGATTAGATTATAGGGTTAGAGGTTAAAGTGTGGATTGGGTGGGGGTTAGCGTTCAAATTAAGGCTATGTCTTAATTTGAACGCTTTTTACAATTAAGACATAGCCTTAATTTTGCATGGGAAGAGATCAAGCTGAAAATTAAAGACCATGTCAAGTCCGTAATGTAAACAAATCCTTTGTTTACATTTTGAACTGCTGTATTTGTCAAATAAGACATACTAACTGAATATTACTGAATATCTAACACTTTTCTGGTTCGCAATTGTAAATGAATATAAACCAGAGTACGTTTCAATTCAAATGAAATGGGTTTCAATTCAAATGAATTGAAAAGGTTCAATTCAAATGTGGGTCCCCTTTTGTTATGAGCAGAACTGATGCGCAGAACGGACTCGACATGGTCTTTAAACGACGATGCTCGAACGAGAATTCAAAACAATCTTCAGATTTTGACACTGTATTTCATCGACTGATCAACGAAACAAAATATTCACACACAACGAAACGCCGCTTACCTGCATTTATTATTCGAACAAGTCCCACCATTCTGACAAGATCCAGAGGTACAAGCCGCATCTAAGCAAAAACGAAAGTGAGAGTTCGCGCGCTTGTTGCCCCCCATCAAAGCGAGAAGTTAGGGCATAGTTAGGGGTTAGAGTGGGGGGGGGGGTGTTAGGTAGAGACGAGTCCAAACCTGCCAAAGATGCTAGCCCGAAATTGCCCAAACCTGCCAAAGATGCTAGCCCGAAATTGACCAAACCTGCCAAAGCCAGCCAAGTAAAGACCTAGGTCTAGGCTGGTTCTATTGTTCTAACTCGCATTCGTGTCACTATGCTGTCATTTGATATGTGTGTGAGATCTAGAAATATTTCCTTATACCAACTTATAATTTATACTGATACACTAAGTATTTCTTATATGCGCACAAAACGCAATATTTTGATCGTGAAATAAAAAGAAACTACGTATACATATTTACACGCGTGACACCAAGGGGAATTTGTAGCCAGGGAATAGTGTACCAAGCTGTGTAGATCATACAAATTTGAAACACTTAGCTTTTGGTTACACTGATACGACGTTACAGCACGAATTATTTCACTGTCGAAAATGTTCCCTCCACTGAACTGTAGTTCTCGACACATTCAGTGTCTTGGTTATATAGTTTTATTAAAGTATCAAAATTAAGTGAATTAACAATTCTCACAAATCAGGATTCACGTTCTTGGCTACAGCACCCGGGCTATACAAATCAGGGCCTTTTTTAACAAAATAACTGGGGGGCCAAAGCCCTCCCCCCAGCCTCCATGGTGGCCATCCCCACTCAACCATTTTGGCCCCCAGTCAAAGTCCCTTTTCTCTAAAGGAAGGTTTAATAACTGAAATTAGCTTTGTGAATCTTATGTCCTCACTTTTACCTTCACGAGTTCAATGTCTTTTTAAAAATGCTAAACATTGTGTTGTAAATACCTTAGATTTTAAAAATTTCCAAGTGGGTAGCATATCCCATACCCTATGGATTTGATTTGTTGGAAGGCCAGGCTAAACAAGTTAGTGATCGAGCTTTTGCTAAACCTCCCTCGGTTTGCGGGGTCATTTAATCACTAATTTCCCTCAAAGCATCCGTTTACTTATAAATAAAATATAAAAGATTGGGCATAATTTAGACTTTGAACAAATGTTCCACTTAATAGAGCAAGAGTTTGTACTAACTATAATTAAACTATCACTCTATATCTATATCTATTATTGAGCTTATCCGTTTCCACAAAACCAGGGTGAAAACGGGATGGATTATATCTTAGGCAAACTTTTCTTACCTTCCATAGACAGAGACGCAAACAAAACAATAACGAGAAGAAATATTCTTGTCATGGTGATATATGTGCTGTGGTACAACTTCACAGTCTACCGGTTTCTTAGTCGCTTTATCTTTATTTAGCCACCTTGCGGGGCAGGTGTTGTTCATGTATTAGTTAATTCAATACAACTTTTCGTGACAATTATCAACGAGATAAGTAAGTGAATGAGTTGAATGGGCGTCGCTGAAGACAGCTGGCACTCAGAGACCATAACCATGACCATGACCATGACCATGACCATGACCATGACCATGACGGTCAAGGCTATTTCAGATACCTTGAAGCAGATCGGTCCCAGTACTTTCGTCATTTCGTTAATTTCACACGGCCAATTATCAGGCAGGATTACACTCGCAGGCAAGCAATTTCAAAACAAACAAAATGGGAATAAATTCGTGAAGAAAACCTTGTGAAAATCAAGTCAGTTGAAACTTTGAAGACAGAAAGAAGCAAAGAATACCTTCGGTAAATAATGAAAGAGTTACTGGAACTTGCTTTGTCGTAACTTGTTTTTTGAACTTGCTGCCGGGAGACTCCTGGTTTTGAATTTTGTCCCCCGGTATTATCTCCCGGTTGCTTGTTTTAATTGTTAAACCGGCTTTGTGTGGACTTATCTCGCAGACCTCGGAGGTCTGCGAGAGGTCTGCGAGATAAATCCACACAATATAATTTTTTGACAAATTATGGTAAGTTTGCTTTGTAAATGGTTAGTTTATTCTGAAAAATTTCTTTTCACATTGTTTTAATTGTCTGCATTGGTTAACGAGAATTGGATGCCACCCAAAAATGGCGGTATTCGTCATCGTGAGAAAGGCCAATTAGGTCTTTATCCCAAAACCAATATCTTAATCTCAGAAATGAGGCGCTGAGCCAAGTGCTTTCCGGAAGGGTGTATCACAATTATAATCTTCAACCCTGTCCGTGCCAGTGTAGGTAGTGTCAAAAAAACAAAACTTTCGTTGATAGGGATGCAACTACCTGAAAAATATAAGGAGAAATTCGACGTTTCGAGCGAAGACCTTCCCAACGTCACTTCCCGACGAATGGCCTTCGCTCGAAACCTCGAAACATTTTTCAGGTAGTTGCATCCCTATCAACAAAAGCTTTGTATCACTATTAACATTAATTTCTACAAGACTGCAAGGATAATTTACATAACAATAATTATGAACTGAAACTACATGTCATAATCTATAATCGTAATACAGGGTGTCCCCCCCCCAAAAAAAGTACCGTCCTACAGAAATTATCCTATTGTTGTTAAGCACAGGATTTCATGCGCCTGGTAATTAAAAATTAAATTCAACTGTGTTTACGCACGGCTTGTGTTCAGCATAGTGCTTATAGTATTCAAATTATAACAACATAGGATAATTTCTATAGAGGGTACCTTTTTGGGGGACACCCTGTATAACCCGTGTTTACCAGCGCAGAAATATAAACCAAATGAAGCCATCGAAATTACTGAAGCCCAGCATAAACTTAAACAACGATCGACATTTTATAAGAATTATTTTAGGCGGGTTTTGTTGTCCCGATATATATGCCACACTGACAAACAAACATTTTTCAACCTTTAGGCTTTTAGGATTTAATTAAATATTCTTCCAAATTTCGAATTGTTACGGTTAGGCGTTCACACGGCACTCTGACGCTAGAATTTCGTTCCGTTTTCAAACTCTTACGGTTAGTATATCGTTTTCAAACTCTTACGGTTAGCATTACGGTTTCACATTTTTTCATACCGGCATCGTGTGAACGCAACCCCTAAACGTAAGAATTTCGTTCCGTTTTCAAAACTCTGCCGGTATCGTGTGAACGAGGTCTAAGATTGACGTTTACGGCAAACGTCAAATCACTAACGACGTTTTCAATTTTACAACTCTAGTATTATAGCTTTTCAACACCAGTTTTGAAATATATTAAATAATTATTGAACTTGTGGTATTTATAGCAATATGATTTAAGAAAGCAAATTAACCCACTAGTCATGCATGTATTCACCAAAGCAAAGGCAAAGTAGTAAATTAAGATTAGTCGCTTTAGGGACCGGTCATTATTTATGGCGGGGGGTGGCACCGAAGAGAAAAGGGTTGGGTAAACAAAATTTTGAGTAAGTAAAAGGTTGGGTAAATGAAAAACAAAACAACTCAAGGGTTGGGTAATAAAAATTTATTGTCATTTTCAAAGCATGACTCACCATCAAAATATTGTTGACTGAAAAGCAATGTCAACAGTCATTTGGCAATACAATATGTGAATCAATCAGAGTCACTATCTTGATCATTTTGACAAAACAAATGGTGTCTCCAAAGAAACTACATGTGCAGACAACATGAAACTTTAGACTGCAGAAAATTTCACAAGCCGTTATCAAACTCATGTCACAGAAGTGGTAAAGGACATGTGTGACAACTGAATGGCGTCTTTTTGTAACGTTTTTGGCCAGGGGTGGGTAATTATTTTGTAATTGATATTTGAGGTTGGGTAACCAAATTTTTTACTTTTTAATGGTTGGGTGAGCAAAATTTTTGCCACGAAAAACATTTCTCTTCGGTGCCACCCCCCGCCATAAATAATGACTGGTCCCTTATCTTTATTTAGCCACCTTGCGGGGCAGGTGTTGTTCATGTATTAGTTAATTCAATTATCAACGAGATAAGTAAGTGAATGAGTTGAATGGGCGTCACTGCATGAAGACAGCTGGCACTCAGAATGACAGTTTCGCTTTCGCACACCCAATCAGTGCTAGGTACAGATAGGGTCAATAGCTACAAATAGTGTTGAATATGTAAAAATAGGGTCAATTGTACCCTAGGTACAATTGGGGGTGAGGTATTAATTCGTACGTAGTCTTGTAACATCTTATGTATATCGGTGTAATTGTGAACAATTGTGACGAATTTAATCAGACTCGTTCCCAGTCGGTTTTCAATATAAATACTTGCAGTTGCAGATCTTAATATAAGTTCTAGATCATGAGTGGCCGTGTGGCATCAGATCTATGGGGCAAATTTGAGAACTTGTGAAATTGACTACAAACTCGAGCCGAAGGCGAGAGGTTGTATGTCTGATACACACCGTCACGGAAGTGAATGCTTTATATAGCTTGTGAAACGTCTCGATGAGAACATTCATATTCTTCAACAATTTAAGAAAATTGTATTTAAACTTATTATAATTAAAGTTTATGTAAATCAGCATGATTTCTGTACAAACTCCTTCACGCTCATGATTTATTTTGTGTTAACTTCATGAATTATAAATGAGTTTCACAATATTATTATTTTATAATTCTTCTTCATTAGCAGTTTCGGCTTTTTTGTATTCACCAATATTCAGGCAATTGTCAGGCGGCTGAAGCCATGAGCGGCTTGCTATTCGGAGTGAATTACTTGTGACTTGACTTGTCTTGGACTCAGACTAAAGTCTGGTTTACACTATCATGTTTCTGTGATCACAGTAGGAATTTTGCATGGGTAATTTTGTATGAAATTTTTGAAAGAACTCAAGGACGAATCTACTAGCCTTAAATTTGACCTGTGGCATATTTGAACCCCAGAAATGCCATTTCCTGCGTTCTGAGCATCGGATTGACGGATTCTGTCCTAAAATTTGGCCTTAATTTAAACATAACAAAAAAACACAATAACTGAAAAATGTTCTTGGTATCAGTGAGGAAGTTTCTGCTCCATGAATCATGTGGCATCATGAATCGTTCATTGACATAGAAAAGTCGTCTTTTGCGACTGAGCACATTTAATTTTCTCGACCGGTCCCTCTTTATAATAACATATTGCACGGGTGCAATATGACTTTGCAAGTTCATATCTTTGGTTAGGCGAATGCTATGCCTATGAAGACAAAAACTACTGTTCGATTCAGTGAAAAAATATCTCCTAATTCCTAACGGTAGTTTAGTCAAATGTCAACATTATAGCAATTTATGAACTTTGAGAGGGAAAAAAAACTTTTAAAAAAAGAAACTTTTTTTTAGAAACTTTTTTGATTTTTGAACTTTTTTATGAACTTTTTTTTCAAACTATATCATATATTTCACTATATTAGTCAATTTTCTCAAACAATGTAAACCTGAAAAAACAATCAATTTATAAAGAAATGAATGATAATAATTTTGAATTTGCATAGCAGGACTAAATTGTCAGGCTGGATACACCACTGTTCACCATTAATTAATTAATATATTTTCACACAATTCATTTCTGTGTACAAAAAATAATGAAAATTTGAGTTTACTAAGATGAACGAGGGCAACTTCTTGGTAAATTTTAAAATTTGCTAATGTGATATTAGCCATGTTTTAAATTTAAATTAAAGCATTGAATTTTTTTTTACAAAGATGACCCGAGAGCTTTCCGAAGGCGTAACCCGAGGACTTAATTTACTTGAATTGGAAAATCTGTGGTGTTCTGATATGGTCGCGGTTTAAATGTTACTAGCCTGCTCGCAGGCTAAAATGTTACTAAAAATAGTAACTTATTTGGAAACCTTGGAGGGTATCCAGCCAATCACAGGACGTGTATCAACGATGTTGGGTACCCTCTGATACTGTGGCTGTGTTTTGATTGTGCAAGAAATGAAATAATCGTATACAGCTTGGAAACTCCATCTCATATTGCTAACAGCCACATTCTCCTAACATTAACAAGTGAGTGAGCGATGGCCTTACATTCAGAAAACATCCTTGAAATAATAATCTATAAATAGTGTTTTGGATGCCAATTTGAACAAGACTATT